GTCTGTTGGAGCTTGTACCTGCGGAAGGTGGCCTGGGGAGACCGGAGCCCAGCGCTGTGTTCCGGGGTGCTGGCTGTGCTCTCCTGGGCTGCTCCTCTGCACGCAGGTGGGTGCTGGGAGCCTGAGGTCACAGCAGAAGTAAAGAGCAGCTGAAGCAATGCAGGAGTCGGGATGTGTGTGCCACTAAAATTAATGATGGTTGAGGTGGTAGGGCTGCATTTAATCTGGAAGTGGGTTAACTAGAAAACAAGGTGGTCCAGCTGGGTGCAGCCTAATCCTGTGTTCATTACAGATCAGACTGTGATTTCCCTGGCTGTGAGGGATGCTGCCTGTGTGCCTGCCCTGGAGAGCACTCTCAGGGCACTGGGACTCACCCTGGGGCTGCTGGTGGAGGGAGATAGAACAGGGAATGTTCCAGTCTCGATCCCATAATCCTAAAGCACTGTCCCCGGCAGGACAGAAAGGTAAAAGGTAGTGTCTTTGTATTGCTTAGTGTTAGGGATTTATGCTTCATTTCAGAAGCTTGCACACAGTTTTGGTTGTATTTTATTCTGCTGCATGCTGTCTACACTAGCATATCATTTTCCTTTTAATCTTCCCCTTTTCCTTGGCAGAGCTGCAGAATAAGCCTCCCTTTGCTCGTAGGAATTCATCTGGTTTTGTTCATGCCCCTGACAAAATTGTTTCCAATGAGAAACCATCACTCAGCTTTGAATGACCATGTTCTCCTTCCTGTGATGTTTCAGCCTTAATGAAAAAGAACTACAATACAAGATGCTGCAGATGGGCCTGATTCAAATTTGATTGTGTCATTCCTAGGCTTGGTTGCCCTTATTGGGTTTTATATTGGGCTTCAAACCCGTGCTTTGAGTGCATCTTTTGGGAGTGGCTTATGGAAACCTACAGAGTTTTATTTAAATTCTCTGGAGCTGCTGTAAGAGGCATTGGTTAAGGATTTACCTGCACTTTAGCTGTAACTTTGCCACTTTATATTCACGTATTCTATATTGGACTGTATTTTGCCTTCAGTGGAGCTGGGTCCATTCTTGAGAGTCTGGTTTGATGTGTATGTGTGAAATCCAAATTAAACCCACAGTGCAATGAAGTTTAAATCCTGTAATGTTAAAATGCTGCTCTTTTGTCTAGGCAATGGCAGAACCTGTAATTAGCAACTGTCTTCTGCGTGGCTCTAAGGTACAACAAGCTGTGCTTACATTGCATATTGAGGTGCCCCACAAAGGTTGAGTGAGAAACAGAAATTGCAGTCAGCTGCAGCTGTGTTAAATAGAACTGCGGAGGGAAGAGGGAGCCTTTGGTTGGGAGATTTGATCTTGCTTCTGGCTCAATAGCTTGGAGAGTGATTTTTGCTTCCTTGGTAGAAATGGGACTTAACCATTAATGGTAATCGGCCTCATGAATGCTGGTGCAATCCAGCGGGGCGAGTTTTGTGGTTATTTGCTCTGCACATTTTAAGTGGTGTATTTGCTGTGAGATGAGACTTCCCTTGGGATTCTTCACCTGATGGCTGGGTTCCAAAGCACTGTCTCTAACCAGAAACAACTTTCTTTGGCAGTTCTACCAAGTCATACGTGCGGAAATCCAGGGAGGCTGCAGAATGGGATTCAGCAAGGGACAACGTTCAGCATTGGGGACAAAGTGAGATACAGCTGTAATCCAGGCTTCTTCTTGGAAGGACATGCCTTGCTCACGTGCCAGGCCAACTCGGAGAACAGTGCCTCCTGGGATTTTCCTCTCCCCTTCTGCAGAGGTAAAGTGAATTCTCTTCATCTGGAACAGGCCACAGTGAACCAGGATTTAATGAGCTATTTGGGGGAGGGAAAAACTTCATGGACTGTAAGCTCAATGTAAAAGACTTGAAAACTAAATGTGATGTAGTTAATATTGAGGTTCCTTTTTAATGGATTCCTTAAAATTGCCAGGGTTTGTGTGAATAATAGGAAGGCTGTGAAGTGCTTGATGTGTTCAAACTGCTGCACGGCTACTTTAACTTCAGTTTCTTTATTTCGTTTCTAACTTCATTGTCAGAATTGGCCCATCCCTGGCAGTGTTCAAGGCCAGGTTGGACACAGGGGCTTGGAGCAACCTGCTCTAGTGGAAGGTGTCCCTGCCCAGGGCAGGGGTTTGGAACTGGATGAGCTTTAAGGTCCCTTCAACACAAACCAGTCTGGGGTTCTTTGTCTAACATCTGTGCAGGGAGGGGGAAGCAGGAGCAGCACCCATAAGATCAGGTGCCTTCCCAAGACCATGCGGGTTTTCTAGCTCAAACACCAGAAAATGAACTGGGTGTTGTGGTTTCTGCAGTGTGGGGCTGGCTTCCCTCGTGCCACCTCCACAGTGGTTGTGGTGCTTTGCCTGTGCCGAGCACTGGTGTCTGCGCTGCAGCCTTCACTTGGGGTGCTGTATGGAGGTGGAGTCTGGTCGTGGTTGAGGGGGTTGGCCAGCTCTCCTACAAGCCCTTTGGGTAGGGAAACTTAGATTCCTTGACCAGGATAGAGACCTTCTTGCTAATCCTCTGGGGTGACAAGGAACTAGAGAGTCTGTAAATAAACAAGTGTTGGTGGTGTTATACCAAAACAGTTGCTGCTGTTTGAAGTCTTTTCCCTTCAATTCCTCGTGCACTTCAGTAGAGCATCTTACATTGATCCTTTTTATTGACTCTGCGTGTGCAATCAATCAGCAGTTCTAAGCTGTAGCATAAATCTTGAATTTAAAGTGAGCAAATATTGTTTGCTTGGTGTGTTTTTAATGCTTGCTTGAATTGGTTATACAGCAGTAATCATAAACCAGTCTGTGATTCTGGGTTGAAGGGACCTTAAAGCTCCTCCAGCTCCAACCCCTGCCCCAGGCAGGGACACCTTCCGCTAGAGCAGGTTGCTCCAAGCCCCTGTGTCCAACCTGGCCTTGAACACTGCCAGGGATGGGGCAGCCACAGCTTCTCTGGGCACCCTGTGCCAGCGCCTCAGCACCCTCCCAGGGAAGAGCTGCTGCCTCAGAGCTCATCTCAATCTCCCCTCTGGCAGGTTAAAGCCATTCCCCTTGTCCTGTTCTACAGGCCCTGTCAAAACTGATGCCCCGGAGCCCCCAGTGATGGTGGGTTCTGATACACTCCAGAGTAGAGGAATGTTCAAATCCATGGTGCTCGCATCAGTGCTGTGGGAATTGCTCTGGTGGCAGCAAAATACCCACTTGGTCAGGTGCCTGTGCAGCAAAGTGCCTGCAGATTCCTGGAGGTTGCTGCTCCTTTTTCATAGACCTGGTCCTGATCCTTGCAAGGCGTTTTTTGGCATCGAGAACCAGAAATCTTCTCATGTAACATTTATATCTAGTTCCAGGAAAGTACAAAGCAGCAAAGAGTCTGCAAATGAACTTGCTGAATTAGAAAATCAGCTGAACTCCTTCCACTAGCAGTAGGCTTTCAGCAGGCAGAGGTTTGTGCTTGGCTGATAAACAGACTTTAGTTGTTGCAAGGGGCAAAAGGATTTGCATACTGACAGCTTTATGCCACCTTCTGCAGGGAAAATAGTGGTTTCAGAGCTCTTGCCTGAAGAAGGATATGTATTTCCCTGAGAAAAAGCCTTTGTGGCCTTTGTAGCTTATAATTAATAATATTATTACTAATGTAATATTATAAATAATTATTAATACTGGCTTACTGGCGATTGTCACCTGGAAGTTTGTTAAATGTCTTAGTGCATATTATTTTATTCTCTAATATACTTTGGGGATGGGTCATGCTGGTGGGTCAGATCCCGACAAATGGAGAAGTGTCCCTTAGCACTGATGTTAAAATCCCAGGAGCTGCTTTGGGAATAAGTAGACTTGGCTAATGTCACTGCAGAGGCCAGCATTTCATCTGGGGACTCTGCCCTTTCCTCCTTCCCCTCCTCTCCGCTATAATGGTGAGATAAGGGTTGAAAACAGTGCAGGTTTTTACCATGCTGATTGATACCCTCTTCTGGTTTCATTTTGCTCTTCTCTTTGTGCTTGTCTTCTGCTTGTAACATCCTTTTCTACATGTTAGTGCCCTTGTCTCTGTTTCAGTCTTCGTGCATTGAAATAATTGAAGATGCAAAGAAATGCATGGCAGAAAAGAGTAAGAAACAAAGGTGTTTGGGAGGATGTGCCATGACAGCACCTCTGAAGTAGTGCTGTGGCTGCAGAGGATTGGTCTGCACTCCCTTTACTCAACACTCCATTAATGCACTTGGGTTCTTTATAAAGGACAAGTGTAACCTCAGTGAGGAAGGAAAGTAGGAAGGAATTCCAGATGCAGAAAGAATGGCTTGGTGAGAAGTGTCTGTGCGGAGCCAGTGAGAGTAGCTGGTGCTGCAGCTCGCCAGTGGCTTTGAAAGCACAGTTATATCAAAATTGATTCTTGTACTCTGAGCTAAAAGAGACTATAAATTCAGTCTGCACAGACTCTGCTCTCGTGAGTTATGTTTCTTGCTTACGTGGCAGGAAGGATTAAACGGCAGTGATCTCATTCAGGGAGCACCCAAGCAGCAGCAAATGACATCTCCATGCTGGTCTGTGAAGCAGGAGCTGGGTGCTTCAGCTGTGGCCGCCCAGAGCAGCTTGGCTGTGCCTGGTAGACCATGTGTAACTTGGATTTGCCTCGAGGACTGAAAGTCCTCAGCAAGTCTGGGTCAGACTGTAAAGTCTGGACTAAGCTGACACTTATTCCATCTTTACAATGCATGTCAGAAATATCTGCAGTGGTTTCCTCATTGCATTTTGTGTGGGTTTACACCCTTTCTGTCCAGTTGTTCTGTATGCACAATGAAACGAGGCCTCGAACTTCATCTAAATGGGGCTTTAAGCAGAGTCCTACAAGTCTAGCTGTATTTTTATCTTGACAGTTGGCATGCTGCAGGCAAAACCCCAGCAGTCTTGGAATGCTGCTTCTGTTCTGCTGTAGCCACAGAAGGAACAACCCTCACCTGGGTCTGTGTATTTCAAATAAAGCAAAATGGTTCATTCGAAACACGCAGAGAGTATCTGGAAACATCGGGAGCTGTTTTGTAACGCACCTTCACACATGTGGAGAGGAGCCTTGCCCAGATTGTTTGCTGAATTTAAGTAGAACTGATGGGTGTGTGATTGTGGCAGGCAGCTGAGTGCAGATCCAGTAAGCCAGCTGAACAGTGGAGCGCTTGCAAAGCTACATTTTAAGCGTATCAAATATGTATAATCTCATTAAAAGTGGTCTGTCTTACTAGAACTCAAACAGCTGCTTAGACTGCACTGTGCCCAGAGTAATTGAAGGGCTGTTCAGGAAGATTGTAGAAGATTTTAGAAGCTGTTTAAACAGTAACAACCTCTACAAAATTAGCAAGTGTCTCTTTAGCAGTGGATGGGAAGGGAATACGTTTTCCATTTAATATCTTTTGCAATGAAAAATTTTCAAAGAATTTAAATAAACCCTTTCCTTTTAATAATAAAAATGAAAAGGCCCAACCCAGCAGACTGCTGCTACATCCTCTGCTGCTGTAAGTTACCTTGGTCTTGTGAAAAGTCCCCTTGTTTAAAATGTCGAACATATCACTGAGTCTAAATTCTTGAGCATATTTCCCATCCCCTCCTGTATTCTTTCTAGTACAAGAACAGCTTTAAATTACCAGATCCAGCCCCAGACTTCCCAGACCCCCATAGTAAACGTGGCTGAGAACTTGCCAACAGGAGTTGCTTCTTCCAAATCCTGGTTGCCTTTGCTCTTGGGTGTGTTGTGTTGCTCTTGTTGTGTTGTGTTCAGCTCCGTAGACCTGAGCTGCCTGAATCCATGGTTATAGTGAGAAACAAGTGTTTGGCCCAGAGCACCCGTGCCCTCGAACATGGTGTTTGCCTGCAGAGGCTGGACTGCTTGTGGGTTTTTCATGGTAGGTTTGCAGGACCTTGCTGCAGAGGTGCTTTGAATGGCTGCCTAGGGCAGGCAGGCAACAGTAATGTTTGGCATGTTCTGTAGGAGATCACTGCCCCTCTGGAGGAAAGTCTATCTTCAGAATAAACTGCTTATTCAGATACCTGTGCCTTGTTGAAGCAGGTAATGACCTTGCTCCTGCTTTGCCTGTCTTGCTGCTGGGCACGTGATCTGGGAATGCACTTGGCGAAGAATCTTTTCTGCATCTATTTCTTTCCAGTGTCTGCAGGGACATTTGTTCATGAGAAACTAGGTTTGAACATTCCAGTAAACTGGTGAATTGTGCTTATCTCCTTTGGCTGGAATCCATTCATCCTCTAAAAAGCATTTTCATTCTGCCTGTCGTGGGGGAGGCGTTTGGAAGAAGCCCTTTCACTTCTTGAGTGGACCTTCTTTGGAGGTCCCCCTGTCAATCTAGTATATGGTGCATTGAAGTTTGAAGGGTTTTCTGGTGCTCGGACTAGATGGGAGATCTTTCAGCCTAAATTGATGGTTCTAACTGGACTTCAGTGTCTGTGAATAACTTTAATTCACTGACAATACAATTACAGCAAATAGGTAACTTTGTAGTAGAGCATTGAGCTGGGACTCCAGTGGCCTTGTTCAGTTCTGGTTTTGGCTGCTGGAATGGCCCGGGAGCAGTTTTGTAGCTGCCTGTATATCTGGGGAGTTCTAATCATGTTTTTTCCTGCCTTTCGTGCTTGCTGTGAGCTCTGCACATGCCACCCCAGTCAGCACGGATGCAGTTGCAAAGGGCCATGGTCTCCACCAGGACTTAGGAGGTGTCTTCACCTCTAAGACTTCTCATTCTGCTCGTTCAGGTAGCTGGATGCCCTGGGAGAGCAGATGGCCAGAAGGAGAAGTTGCCATGTGTTTGTCTTACTTTGTCTTACGAGTTTGAAGGTGCAAGTTTCAGTTCTGCTGATAAACCTCACTGGCAGCACAAAACGCTATTGCCTGGAATGGTTTAAAACCTGAAGGACCCTCCTGCAGGATTGTCCTGCCCTTTCCCTAGGTGCCAGAGACACCATTGCACTTACTGAATGTTCTCCCCTGTGTTAAATCTCGGTTCGGAGGGGGTTGTTTTAAAAAGAGGTTGTAATGAAAATAAATGTGATGTAAAGCCCCAAGCTCCTTGACTAAAGCATCTGAAATGCTGCTCTGTAACATGTTGTAAAGTTAACAGGCTTTTCCTAGCAGCGTTCCAAAGAAATGCGGAGCTGATGCAGCTGTGTATGAGAGGAGTGAGCTGCCCAAAAGAATTCCTGGGTTTCCTTTGTCTTCCTGCCCATGTTTTCTTGAGATCCTCCTCTGTTAATTGCTCCTGCTGATACAATTCAGGATGTAAAAATGAAAGAACTTGCAGCAAACAGGAGATCCAGTATGTGACGGGGAAGTGTCACTGCTGTATTGCTGAGCAAGGAGTTACGCTTTTACCACTGATTTTGGTAAGAACATTAAAAGAAATCAGAGCAAGTAAAGACCTGTAAGGCAGGTGTGTGGGATACTCCACTCCTTTTCTGTTAGATCTCTATTAAATACCATACTTGTACTCCAAGTCCTGTTGTTCCAACCCTTGGGGTGTTCCTGTTGCTGATGAAGGTACTGAGATCTATCTGGAACCTGACCTCTCTCCTCACTGTGACAGTTGTCACGTATCTGTGAATCCTTTCTTGGTCACTGAATTCCTGGTGTTTTTCCTCCTGCTTGGCTGGCTACACAGATGGGAGGGAAAACAGAAAACACCTCAGCAGGAAAAAAACTCAGGCAAAAACCATGAGGAGATAGTGTCCTGGCAGTGAGATGCGTTAGGCTGAGAACCATCAGAAGCTCTGTCAATTGGGGTGTTTAAAATGAAACTGAACGAATCCCTACTAAGTGTGTGGTGGGGAATAAGCTGGCACTTGCCAGGAGACACTGGCTGACCTGATTGGATTTTGCATTCCCAACATCTTTGTCTCTTAATAGCGTGTAGTAAAACACATCCCGACAAAAGCGATGTGGCTTTTAAAGCTTTGATTTGATTTGGGCATATTCTTTTTTGATGTTCTGCTTTATGCATTTCTGCAATATCTGATCAACTCACACTCTGTTTCCAGCTGATGATGCCTGCGGAGGGACTTTGCGGGGACAGAGCGGGATTATCTCAAGCCCTCATTTTCCTTTGGAGTATGGCAATAATGCAGACTGCACGTGGACTATTCTTGCCGAGCCTGGAGACACTATTGCTCTGGTTTTCATGGATTTTCAGCTGGAAGATGGATATGATGTTTTAGAAGTTGCTGGAACAGAGGGATCTTCGCTCTGGTGAGTTACTACTGCCCATAATTCATTGTGGCCTGTACAGTCCTGTAGTACCTGCTGATGTTTTGTGTGTGCAGGTACAAACGTTCCAGCATGTTCAGAGTGAAGAGAGTTCGTGCCTGAAGGAGGGTTGTTCCCTGTTATTTCCAGTCACAGGTCGTAGCTGCTTCCTTCTAGTGAAACTCCCTGGGATGCTTTTTATTTGCTTGGCAAACTTTGCAGTGACTATTACCTACTTTAAATCATATTCTCTTCAATAAGATTTCATAGTGTAGCTGGTGAGAAGAAATAAGGAATTTAAAAACAAGCAGCCAAAGGAACCATCCAGCACTTCAAAGCCCAGGAAAACCCCCTCAGACATTGGCGTGCTCAAACCTTGCTTTTGCTAAATTATTTTCTGATTATTGCTAAATCTGATGCTGACAAGTTGACTTTACTGTTAATGAACTTCTGGCAAATGTTTCTGCAGATCGTTTTGTCCTTTAGGCAGAGACTGAGCACAGAATTTCAATCCCCTCATCCCTTTGTCTGAGTAATGCTTTCAGAAATAGTGCTTTTATGTATAATAAATGCCACACTGGTTTTTTCTGATACATAAGAGCTACCCAATGGTTGGGGCTCTGAAGTCTGAAGTGAGGGCTTGCAGGAGTCTGGTGTATTGCTCATGTTGCTTTTATAGGAAAGGCTAACTCTGCCTCTGGTTGATGTAGACACTGTGATCTCCTGCACTGGGAGTGCACTCAACAAACAGCTAAAAGCCCTAACGAGCAGCAAATGAAGGGAAGTAGCCTTAAACCTGACATCCCTCTGGAAGGGAGGAATTAAGCATGTGAAATAATGAGGTGTTGCCTGGGATCTCAGCGGGAAGCTAAATTACGATTATTTATGAGGATTCTGTTGCAACCACAAATAATGTTCATTTAAGTAATTTATACGTGCCTGGCAATTATAGGGGAATAGGATTTGAATGTTTAGGATGTATTGATGGGAGAGAAGTTGCCATTTACCATGTACCAATTGTTTACTGTTCCCAGGACCCCTCTGAAAATTAGATGTTGCTGTTTCATAGAAAAAACCCTGGGTTTATTAACATGTGTTAATATTTTAGGGCACTGTTGGTTTTTAGCCATTATATACAGCAGCAAGGATCAGTCATCTGTGGTATGTGGTAGAGATGAATGTCGCTAGTTAAGAAACATTATTCAGCCTGGAGGTGTTGCTAGTGCAGCACTGTGTCTTGTCGTACCCAAAATAAAACAATGCCTGTCAGAGGGAACCTGCTGCAGAGAAATTAATAAACTACCCATAAATACAGTGTGGTGGAACTTTAAAAATGGCAACTTAGAAAAATAAGCCCTTTGACTTTCAGTAGTAGTTGTATGTGCACATGCAGTCCCTTGGAGAGGAGACCTAGAAGCTATTTTAAAGGTAGTATGTTCTGTGGACAGCAGTTTGGGGGCCTTGTCAGAGGGAATAATGATGTATTTTCTTTCCTTCTTCCCCACCAAGTGCCCGTGTCCTGCATCTGTAATGATGCCTTTCCTTCAGGTGGGTTTTTGGTGTGAGCTGGATGAACTGTGCTTGCTGTAGCAGGAGGAGGCTCCTGTTTGATGGGCTGGTGGAGCGACCCTGGCACACAAACACCAGTTTCATCCAGGGCTCCTGACTGCAGCCATTCCTGCTTTGAGGCTCATCCTGCATCTCTCTAGCACCATGAAACGCAGGCAAGATAAACGTACCAGTCAATTCAAAGAGATCTCATTTAGTATTCTTGAGAAGGAAACTTTTCAGTCCCATAAGCAGAATTACAGAGAGTCTTATTTTGAATTTCATTTTTCAAAGCCGGCCTTTGACTCAGAGCCTGCTAATTAAATTCACATTACTCAGTTTTCAATAATTTTTGCCCATAGGGGGGAAAAAACCGGTGCTCCTATCTCCTCTTTAAACATGTTGATATGATTCAGCTTGAAAATATAGCGAAAACCCTTTCTTCCCCTCTGTCTGGGAAAACCTAGTTTTAATTATTGGTAGTACAGCAGGAAGACATGCAGCCAAGTAAAGCATTCTATTGAAGCATCTTGTAGCTAAATATTTCATTTCCTAAGCATTATGAATAGTTTTAATCTTGTTTGAGATGTACACAAATAAAATGAAATTTCAGCTCCTATGTATTTCCAAGCTCTGGAATATCATCTATGGTGGTATTTATGAGACCACTAACTTGGCGCATTAAGTAAGCTTGACTTGGCCTGTGCTTACTGAAAATCTCCTATGTTGTCATTCATCCTCCCCTCTTTAGAAAGCAGATGCTTTGTTGGTTTTGATGAGCCTGGTTCCTTTAACCCTCTTGCCTTCAGCAGTATCCACAGCCGTGTCCAAATCCTGCAATAAGTCTTGAAAGAGAAAGGGCACTGCAGGTCTAAGCGTCCATATGTCAAGCAGAGCAATAGAGGTTGAGTAGCTATTTGAGACATATTAATAAAGTAACACATTTACAGCTCTTTTAACTGCTGTTGCAGCTTCTGTCATGGGACCTTGGGCCTGGGTTTCCTTGACAGGTGAGAAATAAAATGCTACTGAGCAGAGAACAGGAGGGGAAGAAAATAGCAGTGTGAAAAAGAGCCTGTCAGGCTAGAAAGGACCTTGGGGGGGTCTCCAGGCTAGAAGGAGAAATTGGAAGGGTGGCAGTAGCTGCCCTCTTCTCCTTTGAGGTTGGCTGGAGCGGCCTTTCAATCACAGCCCTCCTCTGCCAGGGCAAGGATGTGCTCGGACAGGGATCCGGTATATATGTTCTGTCATTATTCCCAGACTTTTTCTTGTCTTCAAGACTTGGGGTTCTCTTCCCCCTCATTTTCTACTAGCTGAGAAACCTGAAAGGATCAATGACATTCTTGTCAATAAATACATGTAAAAGAAGAAAATCCCCCAAAGCATCTTGGGCTGCAGTCCCTGAGGGGCTGAGCTCTGTTTTCGGTGTGCTCTGTGTCAGTGTTTGTTCCGAGCTCACTAAATCTTGGGCTGATGCTTCTCAGGAATGTCTCCTGATGACGGTTGTTCGTGGTACCTGTTCAAAGCTTTCTCCTATGGCCAACATCCCTGCGGGGGCTCAGCTCCGCTAAAGATAGCAGAGGGTTTCAAGCTGAGCACCCAAAATGTGCCAAGACAGAGTCTGATGGTAAGGACCTCTCCAGGCTGGTCCTGGGTAGCACTGAACCCCCTCTGTGTCAGACATGTCCCAGCCTCCCGTTCCCTTTAATAGCTCAGTGATTACTCTGGAGCTCTGGGCAGGTTTGACTGGGTTTAGAACACTGTGTAGAGAAATTGGGGTTGTCCTGTGGAGCAATTGCTTGGCTGCGCTCTGAGCACACTTCATGGAGGGTAAGTTCTTGCTTTCTGTGGAGGCAGAGGTGTGTATTTCCTCTGTTTGTGCATATTTGCTGTAGTTGAAGTATATGCAAACAATGAAAATGTGCTTGTCTGTCTCTTGCGCTTCTTTCCATCATCCGTTCAGGTCTCCTGTAGCTGATCTGGGACCTGTATCTAATATTAGGCATAATGACTTGCATTATGATTATTAAAGCGTTGTGCTGCTATTGCCAGAGAAGGTGGTGGGTAGGAAGTGACTAATAATCCAATTTACGTGTGTTTAGAGGATTCAGTAAGATCAAGTGTGCGTTTTGCTGGGTGTAATGCGGGTATTTAGCAAAGAACGTTTTTGCAGTCATTCCCATAGAGCTGAAGCAGGTGAGAGAGCTCTTGGTTCCCTATGATCCTCCTCTTGACTGAGTTATTCTACCTTGTGGAACGCAAGTCTCATCTTAGGGGGGTGGCATCGTCTGTCATGTTGCCCCTCTGCTGCCCTCCCACTCTTTGAGCTTTTCCTTGTCATTTCCCCAGGAAACGTTTTGCTTTGACTTTCTGTAGCTGATCCCATGCCAAGTGAATGCAGGGGGAGAAGCAGGGCTGCACGTGGGTACCTGCCGAGCGTTCCTGTCTGAATCCTGTTCCTCCTCTTCAGTCTCCCATCTTCATTTTGACTCTCAGCCTTGGAGCCGTGTTTTGCTTGTCTCACACAAATGCTTTCCTTCTCCTTTGGACTATTTTTGCAGTTAATTTGGGTAGAATTTGGTTTCAGCTTTGTCTTTTAATTTCCTAGAAGCAAATGTGCCTTAATGTGTGTGTGTGTATTTTGCATGGCTTTTCTAGCCCAGCTGTGTCTGATGTGAAGGCAGCACAGGCATCTCGTTCTGCTTTACTATGGTACACAGGTGCTGAGCAGGGGATAAAAGGGACCATGTGCTGGGGTGGGCCTCGGAGGAGAAAAATACCATGGTTTGTGTTGGAAGGGACCTTAAAGCTCGTCCAGTCCCAACCCCTGCCACGAGCAGGGACACCTTCCACTAGAGCAGGTTGCTCCTGAAGAAAAATACCATGGTTTGTGTCGGAAGGGACCTTAAAGCTCGTCCAGTCCCAACCCCTGCCCCGGGCAGGGACACCTTCCACTAGAGCAGGTTGCTCCAAGCCCCTGTGTCCAACCTGGCCTTGAACACTGCCAGGGCTGGGGCAGACACAGCTTCTCTGGGCTGAGGACCCTTGAATTTAAGGTTCTTCTGGTTAATTCCAGGATATCTTCCTTTCTGGAGCTGAGCACAGGAGACTCCATTCAAACATCACCCTTTATGGAAAAGCGTTTGAGAAGTTCTCTCTCACTGCTGTCTTTCTGCAGAGAGTTGAGTTGGGGAAAGAACTGCTGGAGGAATCACCTGTGTTTCAGCAGCTCCTTGTCACTGCTGCTGACTTTATTTCTTTCCTTGTCATTATCTGCAGTTGACCCTTCCCTCCCCACCACCTTTGTCTGTCTGCCAAGTGGTTTCTAATACTCATTAAGGTTCTTCTATGCGAGATCTGCTCTGTGCTTCCCTCTTGATGCCAGGTAGTTGGTACCACTGGCCAGGCTAATCTGTTAGCGCATCTTGTGCTCTCCTCTGAGAGATTAGAGTACC